TCATAGTTAGGACTATAGTCTTTCATAGTTAGGACTATAGTCTTTCATAGTCAGGACTATAGTCTTTCATAGTCAGGACTATAGTCTTTCATAGTCAGGACTATAGTCTTTCATAGTTAGACTATAGTCTTTCATAGTCAGGACTATAGTCTTTCATAGTCAGGACTATAGTCTTTCATAGTCAAGACTATAGTCTTTCATAGTTAGACTATAGTCTTTCATGGTCAGGACTATAGTCTTTCATAGTCTTTACAATAGTCTTTCATAGTCAGGACTATAGTCTTTCATAGTCAGGACTATAGTCTTTCATAGTCAGGACTATAGTCTTTCATAGTTAGGACTATAGTTTTTCATAGTTAGGACTATAGTCTTTCATAGTCAGGACTATAGTCTTTTATATAGTCAGGGCTATAGTCTTTCATAGTCAGGACTATATTCTTTCATAGTGAGGACTATAGTCTTTCATAGTCAGGACTATAGTCTTTCATAGTCAGGACTATAGTCTTTCATAGTCAGGACTATAGTCTTTCATAGTCTTTACAATAGTTTTTATAGACGCGACAATAACCAACGGGATAAATACACCTCTTCACTCTTGCTTTAAATCATTTTACACTGACTCTTGAGAAGTAAACATGTCTTGTGAATGCGACATCTGCGGTAAAACGTTTGCAAATGCGAGTAATCTCCTTCGCCACAAGAAGGTTGTCCATGCATATGGATCTCGTAATCTTGGGCAGCAAACTCTCACGGCGAATGGGGTCACAGTCATGCAGCATCCCTTTACATGCATCGTTGCAGGATGTACCCAAAGCGGCAAAACCGTATGGGTGAAATCTCTCTTGGAGAATGCTCAAACGACTATAAGTCCTACTCCTCAGCGTATCATTTGGTGTTATGGTCAATGCCAACCGTCCTATTTTGATATGATGAGGATAATGCCTGGAATCGAGTTTAATGAAGGCATCCCCGAAGATATCGACAATGCGGATTACTTGGACGTATCGCAACGGAATTTGATCGTATTGGATGATCTTATGGCTCAATCTGGCAAAGATAAACGTATTTTTGATCTTTTTACGAAAGGAAGTCATCATCGAAATTTGTCTGTCATCTATATTGTCCAAAATATATTTCATCAGGGCAAAGAAATGAGAAATATTAGTCTAAACGCGCATTATATCGTATTGTTCAAGTCACCAAGAGATAAACAACAAATTTCTATACTTGCAAGGCAAATAAATCCCGGCAAAGTACAAGAGTTTATGAGGAGTTATGAAGATGCTACGAGACGGCCTCACGGATTTTTGATGTTGGATTTAAAGCCGACAACGAGTGACCAAGATCGACTCAAGACAAACGTACTTCCCGGCGAGATTGCAAAGTTTTTACACAAACAGTCGTATCGTCAACCACCACTTGCAAACGCAATGTATGATACCGAACAGAGAATGAAAGAAATCATGGATGCACCACAGCTTAGCGCAGTGGAAAAAAGCAAATTATACTCTGATCAACTAAATCGTTTTTGACATTCAAAAATAAGATGGATGCCCAGCTCAAGCTCCTGTTCTGACAACTCCACTAGTGCATGCAGAGATACCATCACAAGCGCCTCCTACGCCTGTAATAGCGAAATACCAACACCAGTGCCTGCTACACCTAAACCAAATTTCCTTACACCACCACCAACAGAAGAGGAACAGCCAAAACTCAAGCGCAACTTTTTCCACAATTGGGTAGACTCTACAGATTGGAGGCCCCAAGATTTGGCAATGATGACCCCTGAACAAAGAGAAGGTTACGAACAAAGATTACTTCGCGAGAGGCCGAAATATATTCCAATGAAGAATGAAGATGTTGCAAGGTTATCCCCAGAAGATAGACAAGAATATGAAAACTCTTTAAAAATAACAAAAACTCCTAGACGTTATGCTCTTAGAAGTAGACCGTACTAAATTTTGTAAAACGTTTTGAAGAAATAAATTTAAAAACTGAAATATTGTATAAATTTTTGCCGGCAAAGCCCGCACTTTCCGCCGGCGCGATCCGCCCGCCTGATTAGTGTACAAATATGTTGTACGTTAATATATGCATGCACGCAAGCGTCGCTAATGACTTAGCAACAAATAACAACGTATATAACGATTACATGTTTTTATTGCAAAATATATTACAACTGTTCCAATTCTAACTTATATTCTTGATAAGCTTACTTATGATCATCTTAACAGTATATATGTATGTAGAATATTTGCTAAAATAACGTTGAACAACATGTAAATATTGACCTTAACAACGACGTTGACAACTCGGGATTAGGAACTGTTTAGTTTAAAATATGTCTAAAATATGTTTAAAATATGATTTTTGTGACGAATAGATTCCTTATTTGCCCTCGTTCGTTTTCGTTCATCATTCGGCAGTCATGTTGTCTTTGACTAGGATGACCGACTTAACAACCATTACAGGATTCCACACAAAGTCTTTCAACTTTTGGCTGCAAAGCGCTCCTGTCTTGTCTAAATCGCTTTCTCTCTTCCCGCACGGATGAACCGCGACGCCCGCGCAATGAATATCCTAATCTACCCGTATTTATCCACACAGTAGAAAAATGCAAATCTCTGATAAAAGTTAATCCTTTAATTAGTGTCACCCTAACAACCCATAGCAACCGGTGTGCTTTAATATAGCTTAAATTTATTAACCTTATCCGAGTTTTAGTACTTTAAAAAACTAGCAATAAAATATAGAAATCGCTTGACAATTATATATCATAACCTCTAATTTCCATGTGTTTATATAACTCTAAACAGCAACATATTCTCTCGTATATAGACCTCATATGGCAGACCGGGATTTAAATATTAGTTTAATTGTAGATACATAACTCTTTACTGCATGCTATTTCTCAGCGTTTTGACGCTTGATAATATTTATATATTACTTAACAAAAAAACATATAGCTGTATACCCTGAATATATAAGTTTTAGATATATAACACTAATGCTATTTCTCAGCGTTTTGACAATAACAGCAAAATGCTAGAGCTGTACTTATAAAACTCCAGACAACAACATGTTCTCTTCTATATATACCTAACTATTGTATCATACACGTGAAGGGACGCTAAAAAAAATGCGTAGTCAGCAAGTTTCGCCCGATCGTGTTTAAGCTCGCCCGCGTGACGTCATTGCATATAATTATGACGTATGTTAATGAGTGACGTCACTACGCACCCTCATTTGTACGAGTATTAATTAACGCACCTTCAGCACCCTTCCGCACCCTCATTTTTATGAATATTAATTAGCGCACCCTTACGCACCCGCAAAGCCACGCGCCTGATTTTAAGGCATACACCTGCGTTATAAATAATCCCTATCTATCCATTGGGATACACTCAGTTATGTAAATTCGTACTGCCTTAATCCCCTTAATTACCTACACGCCTCCTAATGACTAGCAACCCATAACAACGCAACATTTGTAAAGTTTAAAACATGCTTATTGATACAAATAACAGACTATAGTGTCAAAAATATTACAACTATTTGTTAATTAAACTGTTCTATAATTTTTTTTTCTCCATGAGTTCTCGATAAGCTTTCTTATGATCTGCCTCAAAACTTCTAAATCGTTCACCCGTCACCTTCACAGAATACATGTAACTCGCTTTGCTTATCAATATCAATTTCATTCCGTTTCAACTCATCAAAAATTATATCTATGTTATCCATGATACCCTCACCACAACAATTGAACAGCGAATGAGACACACAGTATTTATTTCAGTAAATATATGCAAATTTACATTACTAGCTAGCAACGTATTATTATTACAAGAGGTCTATTTTATCAAGTTCACTTGTTAAACCAAATCTACGAAATTCATCATAGGCCTCCTTAGTGTTAGATTTAGAACTATTAAATGTTTCTTCAATCATGTACTGGTATTGTAGTGGATTACTGAAGAGCACGATGCCAGTGCTGGTCATCCGAGGGCCTTGTTGCTTCCATTCGAATCAGACATTTTTTTCCTTTTCTTCCCATTCTCGACTTCGCTCGCAGCCAATCTGTAATAGTTGTCCAAGCTAACACCTGTTTTCTTCTCGAATTTTTCCTTCCTTTTTGTCATATCTGCAAATATCTCACCCACAAGCATCTGCTTACAGTTCGACAAATATGTAAAGGTAGGGCCCTGCACTCGTTTAGGAACACCAACACTCAGAATCAATTGTGATTGCATTTGACGCAACAATATATCATACAGGGCATCGTCTCCACGAATAAATTTCGGTACCAAACCCTTTTCAATCAAAATGTTTTCCAAATCTGTAATTTGTCATTTTGCCTTTTCAATAGGTAAACCAACCCCATTCTCATACTCTGTACTCAATTCAAACGATTTAGCACTCATCCACGAAGAAACAACCTCTTCCCACTTTGCTTGCTCCATCTCGACTGAAAATTTCAGCAGCTTGCCAAAAGACCTCCAGTAAGAGCGTTGTCAAAATATAGACGATGCTTGTTACAAGACGCTTGTCGATTTTTTACAGACACTCATTAAATCAAACAACCAATCATAGTAAGCCAACATTAATCCCTGTTGTATCACACACGTGGGGGGATGCTAAAAAATGCGTAGTCAGCAAGTCTCGCCCGATCGTGTTCAAGCTCGCCCGCGTGACGTCATTGCATATAATTATGACGTATGTTAATGAGTGACGTCATTACGCACCCTCATTTGTACGAGTATTAATTAGCGCACCCTCAACATCCTTACGCACCCTTATTTGTATGAATATTAATTAGCGCACCCTTACGCACCCTCAAAAATGGGGGTTGAACGGCCTCTATATTACTACTAATAACCATCTGTATCTTCCGGTGGTACATTTAAAATAGTTAAATTATGTAAAGTAACATCTTTCTTTTGATCATTAATCAATTGTGACTGACTACGGTCTAAAATATTTGTTTCTAATTGACAGCCATTTTCAGAGGAGTCTATATCTGCAACCGGTTCTTTTACGCATACTTTCTCGGGATCAGGTTCCGTTATAATATTATTATCTTCACCAAATAAATCGATAGTCTCAGATAATTCATCTTTTGTGGGTTCCTTAGGGCTTAGAGTCTTAATAGCTAATTCATTTTGTTTATCTGTCAACTTATCCAATCTAGTTTGAGCTTTCACAAGCGCTGCTTGTCTTCGGGTTACAACTAAAGCGGACTTATTCTTGTCACTATACACCACTGTCGGTTCTATATTTAAGTCGACAGCTTGCACCCAATGATCAAGCAAATTTTTCTTGGCTAAAGAGTTGCCATAGGACGAACGCCCAAGTAAACAATCTACACGGAGATTTCTCATAACCCCCACTAATTCTCGATGTATCCCTTGTTCACTACTTATGGTTACCCATGCTAAAGCGACTTCGACTCTATCACCATTTGCAGTGATAACTGTAATATTTTCACCAGTAAAACTATTTTTACTAATTTAAATTTACTAACAAGGTTTTCATGCACCAAAGTCCTTGAACAACCAGAATCGATTATCATTTGGACTTTGTTCCCGTTTAAATTCCCTACTATGTAACTTCCAAGGGTATTATATCCCTTGCCTAAAAATGCGGCATTTTGTTTGTTTTTCTTTCGGCACTCATGCGCATAATGACCTTTCTCTTGACAATTAAAGCACTTAACTTTTGACTTATCCAATTTATCTCGAAATTTCCCAAAGTCTGGCTTATCTGGATTTCCCTTATTATTTTCGTAAACTTTATCTCTCATTTTGCAAAAATCATCATTCCTAGGCTTATTATCATTTCTTTTGGCACTAACATATTTACCATCAATTAAGGGTCCCTTTCTACTTTGTACATAATCATTCGCTAAATTTGCCAGTTCCTCTGCGGTATTGGGCTTTCTCTCTTTCAACCATACTTGTAACTCAGGGCCAACCCCATCTAACAATCGTTCTATAACAATTTGTTCTAATATTTTTTCTCGGTTGTCTATGGCCTCTGCCACAGTCATCCATCGGTTCAAGTATCTACGGGTTCTGTGATCCCACTGGCCAAAATCTTCGCCAGCCTTTTTTTCTGAATGGCGAAATCGATATCTATAATGGTCAACATTAAGCTGATATGCTCTTAATATAATAGCCTTACTTTTATTATAATCCTGAGCATCTGGACCAACAATTTCTAAATATATAGACTTCGCTTTTTCACTTAAACGGGGATTAAACTACCTAGCCACTCGTCTTGCGAAATTAACTGGGCCTTAGCAGTCATCTCAAAAATTCGAAAATAATCATCTATATCCTCATTTTCTCTCATTTCTCGCACCTTTATAGGCTTTGGTACTCTCTGCTTAGCTACATAGATCTGATATTTCTCTCGTTCCAATTCTACTTCAAACGCTTTATCTTCCCTCTCAGCCCTCCTTTTACGCTCTTCCCGTCTCATTTCAAGTTCGTCGCGTTCTAATGCCATATCTCTTTCAAATTGCAAAAGACGCAATCGTTCGTCAAAACTTAAGGACCCCAGGGGCTCGCGAGTACGTTCATAACTTGTGGGACCCGAGGGAATGTTGCCCTTATTGCCATAGTCATGGTCACTACTGAAATTACCCGGGTCTTCTACAGTTTTTGTTGTTCGTGTTTTTTGAGGGCTCAAACACCCCCTCTGTCGGTTTCCAATTCTACAGTCTCGTCCTCTGTTTGTAATTTTTCTACAGCTTTATCACTTGCTCTTAACCTTGCAGCAAGTGTTTTAACGCCATCTTTTGTATTAATTACAATTTCACGGTCAGCACATTCTTTTCTTAAGAGTTCTAATCCCCAATCGTCGTATTCGCTCATTATACGATTTAATTGTTCTTTCGTGATAATTGTTCACTATTAATACTATTTCTTCCTATTAACCGACTAATCCCACCGCTGCCACCTATTGTGACGAATTTAAATCCGCCTGTGTGGGTGTCGGCAAATATAACTTCATATACAAAATAAAGTTTAAATATATTTTTCTATACTTTTGTTTGATATAACTAAAACTATCACAGTGTAAATCCTATACTATGGTTGTTAACTGTCTCTCAAGCTACGATACTTGCGTCCTTTGGCGAGTTGTTCCTTCCCGTTGTTTCTTCAGCTAGTCCTGACAATCCCGATTTTCAGAGCGCTCGTTGAGTTTACCAGGGTTTTGATAACGGTCCCTGCTTTCAATTCCACTACACCGATCTCCAAATAACTTCGTCTTCACACGTTTACAGCTGAGTGTGTTGCTCAAGTCACTAAAGATTATACCAGTGCGTTTGATCATTGAAGACCCACGTAGTGTATTGCTCAAGTCACTAAAGCTATACCAGAGCATTTGATCATTGAAGATCTACCTTTCCCATATAATGTAAAGTGCGACGTTGATAACGTATATTTCTTTCGTTTTACTTTATCAAGTTATTTCATGAGTGTGTAGACCACTCCTTAATCGGTTCTACTTCAACACGAGTTCGTTCGTTCTGCTTCAGTGTCTCTCTGATTATATAGCTAGTTTATGGTCATGATTTTCGTATAGGTAGGATAGCTACTACTTGCAAACAAAATGAGAAGAAAATCTTTTTCTTGCTTAATAAGAACTCTTGGTCGGTCAGTTGGAGAGACCGATAAAACTTGCATGTTAACGGAGGTTTATCGCCGCATAAAAGCATGAGTCAACCTCAGTTTAATAGTTGAAAGTTAGTGGATTAGGAGCATCCAGAAAAACTTAAATTACTTCTAACAAAGAAGAGAATATTTATTGTGAGGGTTTGAATATGAATTACAAGTTTGCAAGCTGTATATAATGACTACTTGAAACGGTCTTGTTTTAAACATCAAAGAGACTTCCGCATATTGACAGGTAAACAAATACACCAAAAATAGCACGTATTTCAGCGTTTTGTTCTCATTCAATTTTCTTTCACATACAAATTTTATTGTGGATTATTTAGCTTCATTAATTGACTACTTTTTCACAATCAATGTACCCCAAGGTTCAGATAGGTGCCACTTTAGAGAATTTTTAGATTCAAATCACGCGCTAGACGGCGAGGGATTTAGTGACAAAAAACTACGTTTGCTAAAGCTGAAAAAATATACTTATTAATGTTGTAGAACCCTAAGTTTATATCGAATGTTTAATAAAGAATAGTTTGAAACGTTGCGTTACAGTTTAGTAGGACTGGAAACTAAATCGGATTTTGAACAATGTGAATTAAGCGGAAAACACCACGAGTTGTTGATGTGTTTTAAAATGAAATCAGGACAAATATTAGGACAAAATACGTTGGAAATATTACATTAGTTATAGTTTAAAGTGACGGTGAATGGTTGCGGGACAATTGGGTTATTATTATTCAGGATTGTGCAACTTGTAAGTTTATATTGGAATGGAGTATCTCTTATACACACTGGTATTTGTTTATTGATAACTATATTATTATACGTAATATATGTAATTGATATCTCTTTAATAGGATTTGAATAAAGTTTAACTTTCATACGAATCGGCAAATATCCATACAAGAGAATAAACAAAAGGTTCCTAAACGCTACAGGTTGTTTCACCATTCAAATCAAGGAGAATTATAGCATTTACTAAGATTTCAGTCTGTAGAGGAACATATGGTAACAATTGTCAAGCCTAAATATATATTCATGGTCATTTGTTTATTGGTAATAATGAATGAAGCGAAAAAGGCAAGAACTATTGCTAAATCATCATTTACCCGTAGTGCTAAATCCATCCAACGGCTAATCGAACAAGGACGGCCCGAACCAGAAGTTGTCAAAGCAGGTGGCATATTTGAAACAGCCTATGAGAGAGTACTATCTAAGCATGAAGGATTTGCAATACTTGTAGAAGAAAAGGATTATGAACAGGAAGAAGAATGGATGGAAGATGTGTCAAAAGAATATGATGCTATTTGTATAATGATAAATGATTATAAAATAACCATGGCTCCGAAGAACAATATTACATCGGATAAAGTGGAA